AGGGTACCAGCGGGAAATATCGACGCTGGACCGGGGGCCACATGCATCAGGTGCATGATTAATTCCGCGGCACCGCAACGATATGCCGCAGAGATATCGCATGCGGAAATTGATTCTAATGAGGCCTCACGCGAAAGGACCATCCACCGGCGATCGGTGATCGTTTCCCATCGGTGTGAACGCGCTTGTCCCGGCTTTGATCTCGCCTGGGGCTAACTTTGATCAGACATTATTTACACGAGAGCACCGGGCACACATAGAGTGTCGCGGTTTCGAGTTGCTCGCCGAATGCGCCTGGGCAGCTTCCGAATGGAAACGTCTATTTCTTCCGCGAGTAGATGATACGACTCTCTCTCTCTCTCGATCTGCCGAGATCAAAGCGCACGTCGAAAGCGACAACGATTATTCGACTGCAAAGACAAAACGCAACTATTGCGGAGACCTATTCTGCATTAAAACTTTGATTGCAAAATGTACTCTACAATGTTCTTGTTCTATTATCAAGTTAACAGAGAGCTGCCTTCAGCAGCATCAAGAGATTCGGCATTCGTCCAAATTATATCGGTTTCAACGCGGCTTCCGATCTTCGATCACCTGGAGAGAATCTTTTCGGTTTTACGCGAATTTCATTTACTCCCAAGTCGATTCCCCGAGTGGCATCTTGCTCGGCAGACTCGACGATGATTTATCGCGATCTCGCGAAAACAAGTTTCGCGCGATGCTCTCTCTCGGCCTCGCACGAGCCGCTTTATTAACGGATCCTCGAGATCGTTTTGCGCCGCGCAAAACGGATACGTATTGCGTACAAATCCGTCATCGGGATCGCGGTGAAGATACCGCGGAGAAAGATAATCAATCGGGATGTGCTGGGTAAACCGGGTATCTTATCAAAGTTGGCCCATCTTCGTGAAACTTACTTGCGTCTTCGTCTTCCAGGACGTCGGGGGAGTGCGAGAGAGCGTCCTTGCCTCTCCGAGGACGGGACAGATCGTATGTGTAACGTGTATAGGATCTGGGGGATGGAGAGAAACACACAGAGGGCGAACGGGAGGCGCGGAAGAAGGGACTACTGGTAGACTCCGCGCGCTAACTTTCGCGTCCGTGTGCTCGCGGCACCGCCAGAAGGAACTTTGTCGATCAGAGTTGCGAAGGAGATTCCCAGTTATATCGGCAGTGCCACCCTGTACATACCTCCGGAGGAACGGTCGTGGACCTCGGTGGCGAAAGGGTTGAATACGTCAGTGGGATAATGCGAGGTTGTTTCCGCCGCGGGGTTACTCGCGCGGAAATTCTTCCGTGGAATCATTCCTCCGGCGACTCAATTTGTTTCCACCGATACGACTCGATTAATCTCTTAACATTACTAGGAAGAATTAGCAAACTTCTATCAAACTTCGCTGTTTTAAGATTACAATCAATTTCGTTGTGACGACTACTCGCAACTGCAGCAGAAATTTTCGCTACAGCACAATCTAATTACAGCCCCCCATTTTACAAAGTAGTAATTTAAGAGACTTAACTTATATAACATTGTTATTGCGTGCTAAAAAAACGAGAATGATAAAAGAAAGAAATAAAGCGTGGAGATACGATAAAATAATTCTAACACGTGCAAGTATAAAAAAATACGACATATAATTGATAAAAGGACAGAGAAAGATATATTCAGTGTAATTGATTGCGCTGTCATAATTCATCTTTCTAACGTATTTAGGATACATGAGGCTCTTTTTATGGCGGAATGGTATTTTCAACATCGAGCGACACTGAAGAACTTGGAGATGATCGCTTAAGACTCGGTGAGAAAGCTTGGAGAGACGGAGGATGCGAACGCGAAGTAGGTCAGAGAAGGATAATTATCTATTTCTCGGGTCTATTACACCTAAAGTACCGGCTAAAGAGGAAAAAGCTAGTAAGGAGCACGAGGCAGGCACGAGGAGGCAGCAAATCACTTTAATTTTCAAAATCGTTATGGCAATAACCCCCCGGTGAAACTTTTCAGCTGCACTCGCGTGTGCTTTTAAGCAGCGGCGCAAATTGTGCGAGAGATATTCTCGCTCGCGTTATAACGTTCAACGTACAAACTCGATATATAATTCATCTTTTTTTTTTATCAAGCCTTTAATTTATGGAAACTAAGAGGTGTGCGTAGCATGCGCCAACAGATGTCGCAATTTAGATTTTTAATTAACACGCAATTCGAAAGCCCCACTATTTCTAAATTCTCATCCCGGGGCCCGCAAATTTAATTTCGAAGCCTTTGGCGAATCTGAAATTACGATTAATCGCCCCGGATTCGCCGGCATAGGAAAACCGCCGCGAGTGACGCGTAGGTGGGAAATTTCACCTCCGCGAGAATTTCGCTTCATTCGGCCTTTCATCCCCCGGCTGCGAGCGAGCACACGAGAGCTGTAACGAAGAAATATTAGCGCTAAGCTGGCGAATGAATACGAATCCGCACTTTAAATCTTGGAGAGGTCTCCGGGCTGGGCGACGGACGCGGACGGGGTCAGGGACCCCGAAATAAAAGCTGACGCTCGGCTGAGGCCGGGCATGGGATGGTCAGAGAGTTGTAATTATCTGTTTCTCGGCTCCATTACACCTGAAGGACGAGGCGAACTGCGCCACCGCCGCCACCGCCGCCGCCGCCGTGGCGAGAAAAGCGGAGCGGGCCAGCGCGCGGGTGGCGAACGTGACGGGAAATAAGAACAGGCCGAGTGGCAGCCGGAAATTACAGAGTCTACAAGCAGCAAGCACTGACAGTGAAACTGACAATATGTACGGAAGACACGGGGGAATAGCCGGGTGGAAAAGAAGTTTCGTTGACTACTCCTGGACGATTGTTCCACGGATGTCCTCGCGCCGCCGGCAACGGCGGATGACAATCGATATATTTTCTATAGAGAAGAGAGGCAAGTCCGCCCCGGTCCTATCGCAAACATTTCATTATCAGCGTGTTTATCGTGGCTTAAAATCGCGCTAATGATGAGAGTAATAACCGTCGATATATGTACATGTATCCATTATTCAAATTCAGACATACAACTTAATATTTATAGACTTGCATCTATCACATCTCTATAATCTCTATGAATATATTTGTACATTTAATCATCGATTATTTTTTTCTTATTTTAAAATGCAAGTT